AAGAAACGTTTATAGGCTGACTATGAAATTGTAATGATAGAGCTATTAAATCTTGCATGCATTAATTTCAACTCTTCTTTTTTAATAAGAGCACTGTTTCTTTCCAGATAAACTGACATCTGACTGTTCAAAGAAAAGCATACAACTAGTTGGTAAAAAAAAGTCAACAACAGCAGATATGACGTTATCAGCACTGCTATAATCAACTATATATATATAGTCAAATCAGGAGTTACCTTATTTCTTTCTATGTGTCATGACCTTTCAGGACGTAGGCGATCATAGCTCCCCACCTCCCTCTATCCCTTGCAGCTCTGAACAAGTTCCTTCTCTCTACCACCTCCCCAAGACCACGTTCTGTCATCCACTTGCTAAAAGCTCGCTAGGTATGTCACGCGTTGTTTTCCCTTGTCTCTCTTTCTCTTTATTTGACCCGTAAGTATCAGACTCTCCAGGCCCTCCTTCCTCATTATGTGTCCCAGAAAGTTCAGCTGCCTCTTCCTGATATTAAGTATAAGCCTCCTCCTTGTTTACAACCTCTCTAAGACCTCATCGTTGCTCACACGCTTGGTCCATGATATCCTTAGCATCCTTCTGCAGAACCACATCTCCGTCGCCTCGAGTCTCTTCTTCATCGTTGAGGAAATCGTCTAACATTCGCTGTCGTAAAGAAAGACAGATGTCACGTAACAGATCAGTATTCTTTTCTTTGTTGTCGTGAGTATCAGATTCTTCAGGCATTCTTTATTCATTATGTGACACAGGAACTTCACCTGCCTCTTCCTGGTATTAAATCACGCACATCAACCATTAAAACTAAATGCTTGTGTATTGAAGCATTGCCCTGATGAAGTCCTCTTTTCTGGGCGTTTCGTCTTGACTTACCAAACTGCCTCAGCAAATTCGCATTGTACTCTCAATTGATGGTGTTGGCGTTTTGAAGATAGTCAATAAACACAACGCCATTTGCATCTCTTAAAACTGATGACCATCACGTTCTCTGCAGGTGAAACGACCTTAGCTTCCCTTTTTCCACTGCATAGATTATCTCTTTGCCACTGGTTCAAACTTTCCAGGTAAACTGACTGTTCAAAGCAAACTTCAAAATTCATAAGTCACGAATTCTCTTGAAAATAGCCAAGATTTGGCATCGTGGTGTTATCAACTACCTGCAGAAAAAAGGGTTTAGCCCTAAGGACATCAAGGCTGGCATGGTTGAGGGGAACGGAGTTTCTTGAAGTTGATCCAAGTTCTTGACGTCCTGCAACTGTTGCCACAGAGGAAAACATAAATCGTGTTCTTCAATCAATTTAAATTACATTATTTACATTATTCAGACTATTGTCCTCATCGTTGTTTCCATGTTTATTACAATGTGACGTCGTCCCCCCTGGTCGCAGCGTCGACTGTGTCGTTCGATCCCGTTCGCGGCGCCGGCTGTTCGCTCCTCGCTGCTCCAAATGTGACGTTCTAACCCTTTGGTTAGATGAATACCAGCCTCGTCGTTCCCAACCCGCTTCCAACGCCTGGGTAACTGCACTGATCTCCGTTCTGCCTACCCACGTTGTGATTAGATCTTAGACAGACGGGATCAAACAGGGATTGGGCCGTATGCAAGCTGAGTCCAACGGGGGTGATAACACACAAGAAAAATAAAAACTCACAAGGTCAAAAATGTTGAAGGAAAAGGTAACAACTTTTTATATCTAACTGCTTGGTACACAAGATTATTCCTACCTCCCGACCCGTTCTGTAGACTGTGGCACCACGCTTCTACCAGGCAACTTTAAGGCTTCGAGTTGCTTGCTCTCTAGAAATTTGCATTTCGGGGTGTGGTTTGGTTTCAACACTGGGCGCTGATCTCTACCTGTCGTTCACGGCTGATTTCTCTCGCCGTCCGTGGCTGCAACTGATTTCTGTCGGTTGGGGTCTCGCTTTTATTGAGGCAGTCAAAAACTGGGGTGGGTCTGTCGGCGCCAGGGTTTTCTTGATAATTCTAAATACGTATTATTTCTGATTAGGGATTTTCCATTTTCGGTAACTTACTTTCACTCCTACTTCCTTACTGTGCCTCTGGGGGGGCGTATACCCGCTTCCCTGGTCCTTCGTATGTCAGGGTGACCGCTCTCGACCAATGGGGTCCTGGTCGGGCATCTTTCCTCCTCCCTCGCACATCATGTGACCGCTCTCGGCCAATGGGGTCCTGGTCGGTATCTTTCCTCCTTCCTTCGTGACGTCTTTAATCGGGCGTGGACAATCTGTGGCTTTGTTTTGCTTAAAGAAACAAAAATTTAAATTGTCCTTTTCGTACGTGACCGAAATGACGATCTCGGTTTCTTTTACACGCGGTATTTGTCAAACAGTTTATCGCTAATTGGATACGATCTAAGAAAGGGATTTCCCAGACTGGGTGGCGTTAACGTGAACTAATAAAAATATTTCACTTTTTTCTTTCGCTCGGAGCTTGATAGCAAAAATCTTAATTATCTCAAAAAAAAAAAAAACATTTTCTAATCATCATCTTGTTTTATTTTCAATTCTGGAATTGTCTGAGTTCTCGTATTAATGGATTGCCTGTATATCCTTAGATAAACTTCCCACCTGTTACCTATCATATTTTTTTCATTGTCTCTAAACTTTATTTCTTCAACCAAATTGATAACAAACTTTCATCCTCCGCGGATACGGAAGTAGGTCAGGTGCTTGACCTACTTCTGTTATGTATCAATCGCGCGTGTGTTTATTCGCCCACGACCGGGTTTTCGTATTATACCTCTCCTTCTTTCTTTCTTTTTTTTTTTTTTTTTTTTTTTCTTTCTCCCAGATCGCTTGAATGTAAAGAAAGAATTATTCCTAACCCCGAAATATTTTTCAGCCTTAAATAATTATCAAATGGTTGACAAACCGCAAAAAACAAATCATATATTTATGAATATTTCTTTTCAGCTTTCTACTTATGCATGGTGCCACAACAAGGATACATGGCACAGTGGATAAAGGCGTTAGTTAGATCCAGTGACCGGACCCAAAGAGTGTGAGTTCAATTCCCGGTTACGACAGTGGAGAACTTCCAGAAGGAAATTAAGAGGAGATAACTGACATCTTTCAAGGAAACCAGATGAATCTGCCTCAAACTATATATTTATACATTATTATTAATTAAAGAATATCAAAGAGTTAAAATCCCAAAGAAAAATTTTTGTAGGTCTTGAAGATTGAGAGCTGTTTTTCTTAAAACTCTCGTGAAATAAAAATTATTACCTATGAGATTTTAAGTGTTTGTTATTCTTTAATTATTATAAATATATATATATATATATATATATATATATATATATATATATATATATATTAAAGAATATCAAAGACTTAAAATCTTCGTCTCATTTATTTGTCGTTTTTTGGGAAAGATGTTTTTTGTAGCCTGCACTTCTCCTATTGTATATATATATATATATATATATATATATATATATATATATATATATATTTCTCTGTGTATGTGTGTATTTAGTAAATTCTCTTTTAGGTATGTTTGATTAAATAAATTACAAAAACTATGTTTGCTTACTCTTTAGCATAATCTATTCATATATATATATATACTTTACAAACATTATGCCTGCTTATTTTTAGTATAATCCGTTCATATTCACGGTTATTTTTCCGCGTATTACAATCAAATGATGCAAGAAATGCACTGTCATAATAGTGATTTTTACTGTCACAATATATTTCTTGCATCATTTGATTGTAATAGACGGAAAAATATCCGTTAATATGAACGGATTATTAAAATAAGCAGACATAATAATATATATATATATATATATATATATATATATATATATATATATATAGAGAGAGAGAGAGAGAGAGAGAGGGGGGATATGTCAGTTGATAATAAATACTGCTTTTAAGTATTATATCTCCCTAGTTCCTACTACATCGTCTTTAATTCATGGTACATTCATAATTCATTAATATTCTACCATGAGTGACTCTTGGGCCGTATCTTGTGTAAACGTTAGTAACAGAAAATATGCCTATAAAATATTAACAAATGTATATGTAGGTAAGACTTTATTTTTGCATTCTAATGATGAAAAACGTTTTTATTTTGCAAACAAAATGCCTTTATTTCATGAAAAATAAATGAATTGTCTCCCACTGGGACTTGTGCAAATGATGAGGATTTGAGGCGAGACTATGAGCAGCAACTGCTAGAAAATAGAAAATTAAAACTTACCCAAACTTTAAAATGATTGTTCCATACGGCTCGGGTAATCAGACTAAGCTACCTTAAACGTTGAAAGCTATATAATGATGACAACCTTTCTAGAAAATTAAATTCATAAATATTATGAGATTATATATTAAAATTTTATCCATTATTACCATAAGGGCTACAACTAGCAGGGATTCGTGCAGATATTTGATCACCCACGCCATGAAGGGTCACGTCGCATAAAAGAATAAGAATAGGCAACAATCTTGAAGAGGTTTGTGGAAGAAACTTGTTGCCACTTGATACTCTAGGCTCACTAGATTCGACCGGCGGTAAGATAAAATAATTAGAAAGATAAGGGCAAAAATAAATAAATAAATAAATAAAAATAAAATAAAAATAAATGGTTAAGGTTTCCTGTATTTTTTCTTGGACCCAAAGACAACAGGAATTACCCCAGGGAAATTGCAAAGACCGTTTCCAACAAAACAAATAAAGAGACCACTTTTTCTTATCAACTAATCAATCTCTTCGATAAAGATATCTTTTCGCAAAACGAATGCTTGTCAGCAATTGTTAACAGACTAATTTCCTGCTTTTTCCAAATAACATTCACTTACCACACACACACACAAACACACACACACACACACACACACACACACACACACGTCCAACGTCTTCGATATATAAGGGTCAAACTATTCAGCTACAAAAACTGAATATTCAGGCTACATGCACACGTGATATGATTATATCGATGAAGGCTTTTAGGGCCATATCACGTTGAAACAGCGGTTCCTGAACGATCACCGAAGTTAAGCAACATCGAGCCTGGTCAGTACCTAGATGGGTGACTGCTTGTTAATACCAGATGTTGTAAGCTTGGATGTGGTGTAATGGTTAATGGCTCAGATTAATCGGAGAGCCGAGTTCCAATGCCAATTCTGTTCGTTATATTCATTTACGTTCAAATACCCCTGCTATGGGTTAATTAATAAAACATTTATCTCACTATACCATTATTATCTCCCCTCACCTCTCACATCATTCATGCAATCTAAAAATATTTTCTACTTGTAAACAACCTGCAAAAGTTTGATAAGCCGAAAAAAACGAATCAGTCAATGAAATGCAGATTAACTAAGGCATGTCTTTTAGATTTATTTACCTTCTCTGGAATAGAAATGTATAGAAAATAACGTGGTCTCAAAATGAGGGGTCAGTTTCCATCCTGATTCTAATACGGAATTGATCACTATCAAATATATATATAGAGAGAGATAGATAGATAAATAGATACAGCATATATACAATATATATATTTATGTATTGTATATATATATATATATATATATATATGTTAACTCTATCACTGATATTAAGCGCTTTTCACTAAGTACTGTGCGTATCAAATTATATATATATATATATATATATATATATATATATATATATATATATATATATAATCTCTGTTCCTGAAAAGCACGGATTCTTTTAGATTTGGTACTATATACCTATCTTGGCTTGGTCCTCCGTTTCACTTTGTGATTGCATGTCTTTTTTTTTTTTTTTTTTATTTAACTGTCTGAATAAACAACGATTTAAAATCTTGTGAGTTAAGTTATAATTACAAGTGAAAGCGACCCTGGCCGTCAGCCAGATGCAATCTGCAATTTTTTTTTTTTTTTTTGTCTGCTTTAAACTGGTAAAAGGGAAATTTCCAGATTGGCCAACGTCAGTATTTAACGCCCGTTGCTAATCATAGTTTAATAAACAGAGTTAGAAAGCAGCAAATAAATGAATATCAAACAGAAGTGGTTGGGGAAACACAGGGAAAAGTGATGAAGACTGGGTTTGAAAACAAAGCTGACGTTTAAGGAAACTATTTTATAGCTAACAAAAAGATACTAAATGAAGAAGTATGTAAAATCCTTCAACAAAACTGGCGAGGACGGAGACGAATCGAAAATAGTTCCACCGACGATTAAAATGGTGGAACCAACAGACTTATAAAGATATAAACATCAAGCTATCAATTTTGTTATCTTTCCCTTCTCTGTTCTGTCTGTTTATGTCTATATTGCTTTACTTTTTCCTCCCTTCCTTCCTTCCTTCCTTCCTTCCTTCCTTCCTCCCTTCCTTCCTTCCTCCCTTCCTTCCTTCCTTCCTTCCTTCCTTCCTTCCTTCCTTCACTCACTCCTTCCATCTTTCCTTTCACCCTTTCTTCCTTCCGTCCTTCTTTGGTTCCTTCCTTCCTTTTTTCCTTCCTTCTTTCTTTCCTTCACTCACTCATTCCATCTTTCCTTCCTCCCTACCTTCCTCCCTTCCATCCTTCCTTCCTTGATTCACTCACTCACTCCTTCCATCTTTCCTTCTTTCCTTCCTTTCCTTTCATCCTTCCTCTCTTCTTTCCTTCCTTTCTTCTTTCCTCTACTTACTCCTTCTATCTTTCCTTCCTTCCTCCCTTCCTTCCTCCTTTCCATCCTTCCTTCTTTCATTCACTCACTAACTCCTACCATTTTTCCTTCCTTCCTCCCTTCCTTCCTTCTTTTTTATTTCCTTTACTCACTCCTTCCTTCTTTCCTTCCTTCTTTTCTTCACTTACTCACTCTTTCCTTCCTTCCTTCCTTTCTTCACTCACTCACTTCTTCCTTCCTTCTTTCCTTCCTTCCTTCCTTCTTTCCTTCTTTCCTTCTTTCCTTCCTTCCTTCTTTCCATCACTCTCTCCTTCCATCTTTCTTTCCTCCCTTCCTTCCTTCTTTCCTTCCTTCCTTCTTTCCTTCACTCACTCCTTCCATCTTTCCTTCCTTCCTTCCTTCCTTTTTTCCTTTCTTCCTTCCCTCTTTCCTTCATTCCTTTCTTCACTTTCTCCCTTCTTTCCTTCCTTTCTTCATTCCTTTACTCACTCCTTCCACCTTTCCTTCTTCCCTTCTGTCCTTCCTTCCTTCCTTCCTTCCTTCTTTCCTTCCTTCCTTTCTTCACTAACTCACTCCTTCCTTCCTCCCTCCCTTCCTTCCTTCCTTCTTTCCTTCCTTCCTTCACTCACTCCTTCCATCTTTCCTTCCTCCCTTTCTTTCTTCCTTCCGTCCTTCTTTGCTTCCTTCTTTCCTTCCTTTACTCACTCACTCCTACCATACATGCTTCTTTCTTCTTTCCTTCCTTCCTTCTTTCTTTCACTCACTCCTTCCATCTTTTCTTTCCTTCCTTCCTTCCTTCCTTCCTTCCTTCCTTCCATTAATCTTTCCTTCATTCACTCACTCACTCACTCCTTCCATCTTTCCTTCCTTTCTTGTGCTTGCTTCCTTCCTTCCTTCACTCACTCACTCCTTCCATCTTTCCTTCCTTCTTTGCTTGCTTCCTTCCTTCCTTCACTCTCTCACTCCTACCATACTCGCTTCCTTCTTTCTTTTCTTTCTTCATTCTTTCCTTCACTCACTCCTTCCACCTTTCCTTTCTCCCTTCTATTCTTCCTTCTTTCATTCACTCCCTCACTCCTTCCATCCTTCTTTCCTTCCTTCCTTCCTTCACTCACTCCTTCCATCTTTCCTTCCTCCCTTTCTTCCTTCCGTTTTTCTTTGCTTCCTTCCTTCCTTCTTTCCTTCCTTTCTTCATTCCTTTACTCACTCCTTCCATCTTTCCTTCTTCCCTTCCGTCCTTCCTTCCTGCCTTCTTTTCTTCTATCGTTCTTTCACTCACTCACTCACTCCTTCCTTCGTTCCTTCGTTCCTTCTTTTCTTCCTTCCTTCTTTTCTTCCTTCCTTCTTTCCTTCACTCACTCCTTCCATCTTTCGTTCCTTCCTGCTTTCTTTCCTTCCTTCCTTCTTTCACTCACTCACTCCTTCCATCCTTCCTTCCTTCCTCCCTTCCCTCCTTCCTTTCTTCACTCACTCACCCCTTCCTTCCTTTCCTTTCTTCCTTCCTTTCTTCTTTCCTTCCTTCCTTTCTTCACTCACTCACTCCTTCCATCCTTCTTTCCTTCCTTTTTTTCCTTTCCATCCTTCCTCCATTCCTTCCTTTCCATCCTTTCCCCTCCCTTCCCCCTCCCTTCCTCCCTTCCTTCTTTCCTTCCTTCCTTCCTTCCTTATTTATTTACTTACTTTAATCATTCTTTTTTTTCTTTCTTTCTTTTCTTTCAGTCTCACTGTATTTTCATATTTCCTTCATTATTTCCTTCCTTTCTCTCTTTCTTTTTTTTCTTTTCTTCCAGTCTCACTCTATTTTCGATTTATTTTTTCTCTTTATTTCTCTTTGTCATCTATATTCCTTCCTTCTTTCCTTTCATTCTTTTCTCATTTCTTTCTTTCTTTTTTTACTTTTTATTTCCAATTCACTGATTTTTCGCCTTGCCTTTTCGATTTTTCTCTTATCCTATCTTCTTTCTTTCATTTTTTTCTCACATTTTTGCTAACTTTCTTTTGTTTTTCTTTTATTTTCGTATCTTCCTTTATTTCCTTCCGTCTTTCTATCATTTTATCGTATTTTTTCTTTCTCTCTATTCTTTTTATGCTTTCGGACTATTGTCCTCTTCTTTTTCGCCATATTTATTACAACGTTTCGGCCGTTGTACGCTCCGGCCTTTTTCAGTATCTGTCTATATTTCTGAGATGGGGTATTATGTACACTATTTACATTATTCGGACTATTGTCCTCATCTTTGTCGTTATATCTATCACAACATTTCGGCTGTTGTACGCTCCGGCCTTCTTCAGTATCTGTCTATATATCTGAAATGAGGTATTATGTACACTATTTACATTATTCGGACTATTGTCCTCATCTTTGTTGTCATATTCATCACAACGTTTCGGCCGTTGTACGCCCCGGTCATCTTCAGTATCTATCTACATTTTTGAGATGAGGTATTATGTACACTATTTACATTATTTGAACTATTGTTCTCATCTTTGTCGCCATATTTATTACAACGTTTTGGCCGTTGTACGCTCCGGCCTTCTTCAAGTGGTTAGATTGTAGAACTGAACCCTTTATTTCGCTCACTGGGGTAGACTGTCTAATCTCCTGAGTTAAAATTCGCAAAAAATTGGTATGTAATGTTTCACGGTAGATATAAAAATAGTTACAAGTGTTTACCTACAGTTCAATGGCTGGCTGGGTATTACGTCATTTTTCTCTACCACTGTTCAACCGGTGGCTGGGCATTACGTCATTTTTCTCTACCACCGGTAAAGCGGTGGTCAGAGCTCAAAGGGTTAAGAGATATGGTAAAGAATCAAACGTTGCTTAGAATTAAAAGGAATCTGTGGAGAGTCATGATTCCCGGACGGGACACAGTACATAAAAGAATTAACTGGTTTAAATTCCGTCACATTTTATGAAACGTTAAAGTTAAATGTAAAATGCATTTAATTTTTAATAGAAAATTCCATGTTTTTTTTCTTAATACTTTAAAACAAAGATAAAAATATTTTCGTTTAGTACGGGAGGGGGTATGCCGTTTGTTTTCATTGTTTATAATTGTTTGCTAAAGTCGACAAATTTTCCGAAAGACAAATTTTTAACAAATATTCCCGAAAATAAACCAAACGAAAAAAAAAAAATTTCAAAAATCGTATAACAAAATTGCTCAAATTCTTTTACGCGTACGTAATCAAAGCTAAACTACAAATCAATAATATATATATATATATATATATATATATGTGTGTGTGTGTGTGTGTGTGTGTGTGTATTTAGGCAGCAATCCTTCTTTCATGCACATTTCATTGAATACGACAGACAAGGTGCTTTTATTTAGTTTTTTTTATACAATTTCTCATGCGATCTAATAAATCTTTTCTTTTCGGATGATAAATTATATAAAAACTGTCCGAATGTTCTTTTTATCCGAGCGCTTTCGGCTATACATTTAGCCATTTTCAAGGATTAAATATTTTAATTGTTAAATAAGAAATAGTTTGTTGTATGTATGTTTTATAAAATGTTTTCCTTTTTCAAAACACGGTCACCATATAATGTCCTTGTTCAAACTTAATATTATTAAATGTTGTTTTTATTAATATGACTTCCATTATTTTTAGCCGTTTTTTTACATGTAGATGATGCTATTATATTAGTGTTGTCAACAAGTATGTTACTAATAGTGTCCGGTAGGTCTCCATGACTATTTAAATGAGATCTAATTGAGCTATGGTCAGAAATACACACACACACACACACACACACACACACACACACACACACACACACATATACATACATATATATATGCAGAAACTATCCAAATGTTCTATAATTCCGAGCGCTTTTGGCTATACTTTTAGCCCTTATCAAGGATAATTTTATCTTTTTACTTCCATTGAGTGTGCGCGTAGTGTGTATGTTTTTAGTTTTAAAGAGATGTTTTATTTTCCGAACACAGTTAGCACTTTGTGGCCGTGTTCGTAGTTAATATTATTAAGTATTGGCTTTTCCTTTTTTTATTATTATTAAATACAAACATAATAATCTCATCCATCTGTAAAAAGATTAAAAAATAATGTAAGCCTTAATAATCTGAGCTCAACGAAAATCGTTCCCTGTGCCTATCTTTTCTAGGGCTTTTGGACGAGCTATGAATCATTAAAATGGGAGCGGAGGAGTTGCTTGACACACAAACACATACACTGTACTTTATATATAAGATCTATCTTTATATATATATATATATATATATATATATATATATATATATATATATATATGTTTATACATTCTTTTTACAGATATCTATATATGTGGGGGTGGGGGGTGTATGCGTATAAAGGAAAAAAGACGACAGGAAAATTGTAATTTTAGCTGACGCGTTTCGTCCAATGTAGACTTTTACAAGGCAAAGCAACAAAATGAATTTATTTAAACAAAGTATCTATAAAAACAAACAAAATGCCGTTAGCAACTAGAAGAATTTAAAAACGCTGTAGTATCTTCATATGGTCAACTGAAAAATTACGTCAATTAGTTTATGTTTAAACAGAATATTTTCATATATGCAACTATTGTTTGTATTGTTGTGCTGACGGATTCAACTGTTTTCTGTTGATTTCTTAATATATTTGCTGCGTACGTTGGCTTGAGAGAGTAGTGATTGTGTTAGGAAAGGTGATATTGGGAAAAATAGGGCGTAGATTAATATTTGGATAATATTCAATGGCGGCACTCTCAAGGATTTTCGTTCTGAGTGAATTGTTTTTTATGAGTGTAACATTTATAAAATTCAAGCGTGTGTAAATGATTGGCATAACAGAGATTAGAAGAAATGGAAAAGTATTAAGAACTTCAAAGGACTAGAAGCTGTAGAGAGCCATGATCTCTCACGACCCGAATTGACACGACACATAGTAGAAAAAGAAGCAATGTCAAAACCGATATGAAAAAATTAAATAGATGAGAAGATTAATTGTTTGATAGATGGAAATTGACAGACTGAGATAGATAGATAGATAGATAGATAGATAGATAGATAGATAGATAGATAGAACTGGCTGAGATATGAAGAAAATTCAATAGATAGATAGATAGATAGATAGATAGATAGATAGATAGATAGAAATGAACAGACTGAGATAGATAGATAGATAGATAGATAGATAGATAGATAGATAGATAGATAGATAGATATTAAATGAATGAGACGCATAGATAGATAGATAGATAGATAGATAGATAGATAGAACAGGCTGAGATTTGAAGAGAATGCAATAGATAGATAGAAATGAACAGACTGAGATAGATAGATAGATATTAAATGAATGAGACGCATAAATAGATAGATAGATAGATAGATATAAAAAGACTGAAATAGAAATAGATAGATAGATAGATAGATATTAAATGAATGAGACGCATAAATAGATAGATAGATTAAAATAGAAATCGATAGATAGATAGATAGATAGATTAAAATAGAAATCGATAGATAGATAGATAGATAGATAACAAAATTAGAGATATCGAAAATTCTGATATATACGAACTGTGGCATATTCTTACAATAAAAACTCCCCAGATAAAGTTCACGAACTTTACGAAATTAAATATTTAGTGCTTTTCTCTCCCTCACAATGGCTGGGAATAAATTTATTTCCGTCTTTATTCAATCAATGTCGTTTTTCAGCCATCACATTTTTCCTCTCTATCTATGAATTAATCATTCCGTCAGAATAATGGAAATCTCAAATTTCAAAGTTTTTACAAAAAAATTACGGCTTTTGAATGACAAGAAGACAGGTGAAATATTTTCGGCGACTTTATTATTTAAAAGTTCGCTCGATTTCTCCCGAAGCAATTATGGAAATTTAAAAAATCCTATGATTTCTATCTCCAATTGACACGTGATCATTTTTGTTCCTCTTTTTTATATTGAAATTTTGGACATTTAGATATACATATTTAGAAACATATATATTTTATAGAATTACGAACTCACACTTGCACACAACATCTTCTTCTTCTTCTTCTTCTTCTTCTTCTTCTACGTTCGCTTCAGGACGTTGAAAATCATAGCTCTCGACAATTGCCTGTCTTTTATAGCGCTTAATAAATCTTTTTTTTTTTTTTTGCCACCTCTCCTAGGCCCTGCCCGCCTTAAATACATGGTGCACACACAAACACATACATACGCAAACTAGTCACAACACATCTAGACATATGGTTCTGTTGTTAATATTTCGGTCTCTCGCGGAAAGGTTTTTATGTGACGCGCTTCATCTGTTAGGATTTCATCAGAATGGGCTTTGTTGACCTTGCCATGTCTACACATGCGCACAACACGAGAGACGCATTTAGTTTCAAAATTTTTCAAAGAAAGTTTTGGATAGTCAGAACAAAGGTGATGGTGAGAAAAAGAAAAAAGAATGCAGATGAATTTGGCTAGATTGAAAAAAATATTCTTTCAAAAGATTTTGAAATTATCTGCGTCTCTCGATTCCTGCGCATGCGTAGACGTAGCAACGTCATCAAATCAAAGCCCAGTCCGATGAAATCCTAATGGATAAAGCGCGTGACGAAAAAAACCTTTCCAGTTTGTCATATTTTTCTAAATACTATTTGTTGATATATAAGTTTATACAAAATTATATATCGTTATATGATATATATATATATATATATATATATATATATATATATATATATATATATATATATATATATATAGAGAGAGAGAGAGAGAGAGAGAGGAATATTATTTGATACAAATATAAAATTTGACACTTAGCTGATTGATATTTTTTCAGCTTTCATTCGCTCCGTCCACTCATCAGGAGATTTAAATTCAAGGCACCGTTTATAGCGGCTCTGATTGAGGAATTGGATATTCGAGGTCGTTACATTCCCTGACGTTCTCTTACCCTTAAGAAAAGGTACGAATCCATCTGTTCTCCCCACCAGCATCTATGGAAAAATAGCAGGACATAGTGGGTCCTATAGCTCTTGGTGGCACCCGGTCCAGCTCAAGCTAACTCTGAATTCAAAGTCTTAGCAGAACACGTTCTAGTTCTCTATATTTGGTTCTTCCAAAATGAGTGGTCGCTTCTGCACAGGCTTTCACCACAATAATCAATTCATATGTGCGGCTTCACCAGCTTTTCGGTTGTTAGTACTGAACTGTTGGATGCTCATACTTCGAAAAACGACCAGAGAGCCGTCCATAGAAATTGAAATCATTAAAGTAAATATTTACCGTCTCAAGTAATAAAAACTGATTTTGACATTTAATAACGCAATACGGTGAGATGTGTCATAAAATCTACCAAACAAAGCTCAACCAATATCGCGCCATATTACATAAACACCTGTCGTATGTACGTGTGCTAGCGTACAGTAATTCTGTTTGTATTACTACTAGTAAGAATGTCCATTCGGACGGTTTCCAGTATTTAAGTCTTAATTAAGACTGTAAATCATGGCTGGAAAAAGATGGATACGTTTTTTGTTTTGTTTTTGTTTTTTTGTTTTTTTGATAAATTGCGGGGAAGCCAGAAATGAAGTTCCACATGTGAGAAGTGCCAGAAAATGAACAGTTAGAGTTGAAATGACTCTAACGAGAAGAAGTGAGAAAACGCCAATAAAGAAACAGTTCGCAGGTAGGTAGGGCAAGAAAAGAAACAATTAAAATGAAAAAAAGACTATAGCAAGAAGAAGTGAGGAAACAACTATTAAGGAAGAGTTTTTGGAAAGACAGAAGATGGTGATTGACGTTGCATTTGTATTTTAGAAGATTGTAATTATCAGGTAAGCACGAAATCGGAAGGGAGTTCCGCAGACGGGAAGTGCAAGAAAAGAAGCTGTTAGGATGAAAATGAATACAGTCGGAAGACGTGAGGAAATAACAATATAAAAACAGTTTTTGGAGAGACGGAAGATGGTGATTGACGTTGCATTTATATTTTAGAAGATTGTAATTATCAGGTAAGCACGAAATCGGAAGGGAGTTCCGCAGACGGGAAGTGCAAGAAAAGAAGCTGTTAGGTTGAAAATGACCATAGTGAGGAGAAGTGAAGAAATAACATTAAAGGGACATTTTTTGGAAAGACAGAAGATGGTGATTGACGTTGCATTTATATTTTTGAAGATTGTAGTTATCAGGGAAGTATGAAATCGGAAGGAAGTTCGGCAGACGGGAAGTGCGGGAAAAGAAACAAATAGTGAAGCTTCTTTAATATTCAATAAAAGAACCCCTTGAATGAATAACTGTCATTTTATTTTGTATGACCACTTGATCTTTTTGAATTGGGATAGAGGTTTTGTGAATAGCTCGGTAATTGAAGCTGCCTCAAACGAAAATCGAACTGTCGTCAACGATCTTCCTTGCTCGACAATTTCTGCACCCCTTAGTATCAAAATGAACTTATATGACCTCCGGTGCAGTGCTTGTGGTATTAATATCTGTTTACTTAGCCTAACACAAAAGGCATACACGAACTCGCTAGCAGAGATAGCGTTCTGTGTTACATTGTGCATAAGCTTTTTGCTTTGTTTTTCACGACTTTATCTTTAAATTACTGACATCTGTTAAGTGCACCGCTAAATACTTGCTGTGTTCGCATGTTGTTTTTCGTGAGGTTTGTTTGTATTTCCTGGTCATTACGCCAAATGAATGTACCTCGTATCAATTAGATGCTCTCTCGCTCTCTCACCTCTCTCTCTCTCTCTCTCACTTCGTCTCTTTTCTCTTCTTTCATCACTTCGACACCTCACTTTGAAGCTCCCAACAACCATCGTTCAAGCGACAGATGCGATTAATAATGAAAGTTAAGGCACGAAATGTCCTGTCGTTGATATATATTCTCTCACCAGAAGTTGCACTTGGATTTTTAAGAAAACCCAAACAAAACGAGATATTATCGTTATTTTAAGAATAAAAGAACCAAGTATGAGTTCACATTGTCAACAGGGATGAATTATTCTTATTATTTTTATTCATTTAAGTTCGTCTACATGCTGTGATAGTTAACAAGATAGTTTCACGTATTAATTCTCGGCTAAAGCAAATTCTATCTATTGCGCCATATTTGTGCCCGTGCACTACTACTATTACTATTATTATTATTTCTTCTTCTTCTTCTTCTTCTTCTTCGTCCCCTCTTCCTCCCCTCCTCTTTCTTCTTCTTCTTCTTCTTCTTCTTCTTCTTCTTCTTCTTCTTCTTCTCACCTGACTTCCATCCTCTTTCCAAAGGTTTGTGTATCATTTCTTCTTCTTCTTCTTCTTCTTCTTCTTCTTCTTCTTCTCCCCCCCTCTTTCTTCTTCTTTTCTTCTTCTCTCCACCTTACTTCCCATGTTGTTGCATCTTCTTCTTCTTCTTCTTCTTCCCTCCCCTCCCTCCTCTTTTCTTCTTCTTCTTCTTCCCCTCCTCGTCCCTCCTCTTTCTTCTTCTTCTTCTTCTTTCACCTGACTTCCCCATCCTCTTTCCGAGTTTGTGTATTATTTTCTTCTTCTTCTTCTTCTTCTTCTTCTTCTTCTTCTTCTTCTCCCCTCCTCTTTCTTCTTTTTTCTTCTTCTCTCACCTTATTTCCCCATGTTGTGCATCTTCTTCTTCTTCTTCTTCTTCTTCTTCTTCTTCTTTCACCTTATTCCCCCCATCGTCTTTCCTAGTTGGTGCATCATTCTTTTTTCTTCTTCTTCTTCTACGTCCCCTCTTCCTCCCCTCCTCTTTCTTCTTCTTCTTCTTCTTCTTCTTCTTTCACCTAACTTCCCCATCCTATTTCCCCATTGTGTTTCCGATTTCCTCTTCTTCTTCTTCTTCTTCTTCTTCTTCTTCTTCTTCTTCTTCCCCCTCCTCCTCCTCCCCCTTTTCTTCTTCTTCTTCTTCTTCCTCTTTTTAATTTCCTTCTTCCTTTATCGTTCCTTTTCGTTATACTTTGTCTTTACCTTCTTCTTTCTTTTTTATTTAATTCTTCTTCCTCCATTTTTCTTCTCCTCTTTCATCTTACATCTCCTTCGCCTTTCCTTGCATCATTTCCTTCTTCTTCTTCTTCTTCTTCTTCTTCATTTACTTACTGTCTGCCATTTCACGTTGATGAACCGGTTCTCGTATGATCACCGAAGTTAAGCAAAGTTGAAGCAAGGAACTATCTAGATGGGGACCAACTTGGGAATATTAGGTGCTTTAAGCTTGGATGTACGGGTGGTGTAATGGATAACTGCTCAGAATTTAAAATCGGAGAGCCGAGATCGAATTCCAGTGAAGTTCTTTATATTCCTTATGCGCAAATACCCTTGGGAATTGTACGATTCGACCTCTTACGGCCATATCACGTTGAAGCACCGGTTTCCCGTACGATCGCCAAAGTTAAGCAAAGTCGAGCCTGATCAGTACCTAGGTGGGTGACATTTTGGAAATAATTGTTGCTGTAAGCTTGGTTGCGCTGGTGGATGGATGGAGAACAGCGCGGAATTGGAAATCGAGTTCTAATTCAAGTCGGGTTCATTATATACACGCGTACGCGCAAGTACTTTTGAGAACGTATGAATCCACCACATGTGTCCCACCGATGGGTTAATTAGTAGGAGTTATATCTATAAATCAGTATTACTTCCAAAGATTTCTTATGATCTAAAAATATTTTCTGGCTTAAATAACCTGCTGAAAATATTCTTCTTTTCTAATGTGCCGTGACCCTTCAACACACGCGAGTTCATGGTTCTCCACAACATCCCGTCCCTTGTCACTCCTAGGAATGTTTGTTTTAGCTCTTCAAATCTCTATTCTTCAAACTCATTAGTTAGGCTATTCGCTGCTTTCCTCTTTTCTTCGCCGTGTCCTATGAGTGTTAAATTTTCAAAGATCCCTTTCTTTATTATATGTTCTAGAAAATTGAATTTCTTCTTGGTGATTGTATTTCAAAAATAGTGCCATTTTCATTTTTTTTACCTTCCTATCTATCTATCAGTCTATTCATTTCTATCTCAATCTAATCATATCTGTCTCAGGCTATTCATATCTATCTATCTATCTATCTATCTATCTATCTAAACAGAATTTAGATTTAAAATGAAAAAGGTTAATATTGGATCAATTATATTATATTTGAGAATATAATTATTGGCATGAATATATTTATGGACAAAGTTAGTATATATGTATGCATGTGTCTTCACATGTATGTTATATCCCTGTATGAATCCATGACAGAATGTGTGTGTGTGTGTGTGTGTGTGCGTGTGTGTGAGTGAGTGAGTGTAAAAATTAAGAGAATGAGAAAGTGAATGGTGGTCACTACGAGCTGATATTTGCTTGACTTGGAATGAACTCTTCAGCCATGTGACCTTGTGTCACAACCTGACCTACTGGGGGCGACCTTGAATAAATACAAACTCTTCAGACATGAAGGAACAAAAAACATTCGTCTACATTATTTTGAGTAAAATCAATGAAAAAAAAATAATTAAAAATAGTTACTTTTATATTTTTGAACCTTAAAAAAAGATAAGACATTCTTCAGAATTAAATCTAAGATTTTTAGCCGATTAACTCCGGGGTAAATCAAAATTCAAAGATCGCTGATGTATTATTTACCATATCTAACAGACGCTTATGCTGTTATTATTTGTGTATGTTATGTTTCCTGCTTTGTAACCTGTAAAGCCGGGTCCAAACTATGGTCCTTAGGCCCTATAGGAGAATTGTCATTTCATTGATAGCACCTTTTTTTTTTTTTTACTATATGCGTATTTCCTAGTAAAGAGATCTTCTGGGTAACTTGCATGTTGATGTTACCTGGGACATTGTCCATTTCTTTTCTCAGGTAGCCCAGAGCTCCTATTACTATTGGTACAGTCTCAGTCATTCATTCCCCACATCCTGCTAATCTCGATCTCCAGGTCCTTGTATTTAGACAATTTCTCGATAATTTTTTTATGGAGATGTTTCTCTCTGATGGTACTGCTATGTCAATAAGCATACAATTCTTGAATTTCTTGTCTTTTATGATAATATTAGGTCTGTTGGCTTCATTTCCCTGTCAGTTTGAATTAGCATATCCCAGAGGATAGTTACATCGTTATTTTCGGTAACTGTGTCTGGTTGATGCTTATAGCGTCTGTCAGTAGTTACAAATTTGAGCTTTTTGCTTATCTTCCAATGCACTTATTATTATTATTATTATTATTATTATTATTATTATTATTTTCTTTGATTTCTGGCGTTTACACATTTCTTTCCGGGTCCTGCCCAGAGACTTAAGGTTAGAAATGGCATCGTGACATTTTCCACTGACCAATTAAAAAAAACATATTTTACATAGATAAAGCCCTTTGTAAGATGTAGGCTGTAAAATTTTTTGTATTTCTTTAAGGCATGGGTATCCAGGAATCTCTTCAATGAGTCTACAGGAATTTTTTGCAACCAATTCAAGGGCTCCATCTACAACGTTGCTGATGTTCCCATGTGCCACATTTATTATTATTATTATTATTATTATTATTTTCTTTGATTTCTGGTGATTACACACTTCTTTCTGGGTCATGCCCAGTGACCTAAGGTTAGAAATGGCATCATGACACTTCCCAATGACAAAAATAAAAATTACATAGATAAAGCCTTTCGTAAAGTGTGGGCTGTACTTGTGAGAACAATTTTTTTGTATCTCTTTGAGGCATGGACTTCCAGGTATCCCTTCAATTAGTCTACTGGAATCTTTTCCAACCAGCCCTAGGGCTCCAACTACAACAGGGATTGTTGATGTTCTCATGTGCCACATTTTTGAGATTTTAATTTCAAGGTCCTTGTATTTTGACAGCTTTTTGAATATCTTCAAAGATACATTGCAGTCTGCAGGGACTGCCATATCAATAAGGAGGCACTTTTTTATTATTATTATTATTTATTATATTATTATTATTATTATTATTATTATTATTATTATTATTGTTGTTGTTGTTATGTAGTGTGCGAAAGGTTTTTCTTCCTCCGTATGAATCCGAATCCCTTGTCGCCAAAGTGATTATGTAGTGGTTTCACAGTGGAGGCTTGTATTTGTACTAAGTCGGTCCTAAACTAGGTTCGACGTACAAAACGTTAGGAACTTGATATAAGAGGTAATGACGCAGCAATCTAGTTGGGGTGGCTGATACTTTAATATCCGACTAACGGTCGTCCGACATCGGCTGACTGACCAACTCACTTTGACTCAGCGACTGCTACTACTACTCCTACTTATTATAGGTGGGAGAGTCTATTAACAATAGAATAGGTGTGTTCCAGTATAACATTATTATTATTATTATTATTATTATTATTATCCGAATCCTGATGAATAGTGCGATTAGCAGAATTAGACCCGAAAAAGTACAAGAACAGTGCGGTTTTATTGAAAATACTGGAATCAGGAATGAGATATTTATGGTCAGAATGATAACAGAAAGATCAAGAAAAGGCAAAGGATTTTATTATCTATATTTTATAGATTATAAAGAAGAGTTTTGATAAAGTATGTCACACAGAACTGTTGGAAGCATGAGGTAGACTTGATTTATTTTGCTAAGATATTAGAATGGTCGACAAATTTGCTATAAACCAGGGAAGGTTACTAAATAGACTAATCAAACAAAGGTTGGTAATGAACGATAATACTGAGGACAAGAACAACACATATAAGATTCGCCAGCGGTGCGGAGAAGAAGTAGTCAACTATAAGAAGTGAGTCAAGTGAATTCCACAATGAATCTCCAACTGTAAGATATCTACCAGCATTCCCATGCGGTCAGATGTGGCACAATGCCGAATTTAATATGGGGTATCCTCGCCTTAAGGCTCGACCAAAAATTTTCTTTATACACCGTATAAAACGGAGTCTGGTAGCTGTTTCCCGAAACGAGGCTCTGCCCTTCGACATAACCTCGTCTGGGGATCCTCTCTGCCCGGAGATAGAGTTTAGCTAGTACAGCTGGAGACGAATCTCCAACTGCAGACCTCCATACTGTTATGGGAACTTACCCATAATAACATAATGGACTATTCCATACGTAATACTGCGCCTCAAGAGAAAGCAGGAAGTTCAGTCCGAAGTCGGGCGACCGGCTGATCGGTTGAACTCTCTGCTTTCGGGCGGGGAGGAACCCGAACGAGGCTAAACCGAAAGGCGGAGTCTCTTTCCGGGAGGTAAACCGACCCTGAACCCGTTTATACGGGTTCAAAGGGCATATTTTGGGCAGAGTCCACGGGCTCGGAGATCTCACGTTAAACCAGCCTTGTGCCACATGATGCCCTCGTTAGGGGGTCACTAAATACAGTACAGTCTGAAGTCTGGAGTGAGGTCCGTCAGGAGTCTGTCAGTCAGTCAGAGCGTGCGAGTCAGTCAGTCGAGTCAGAGGCAGTCCGAAACAGAGTCGCGTTCAGACAATTACTACTAAACCTGATTGTTCGTACTAATACTTTTCTACCTCTCTGTATATATTACTGTTTGTAATATATCTGTGTTATTCCATACCTGTGTTCGAGTTCTTCTTTATTGGTTCTACCTTGGACTATCACCGTGGTACAAAGAATCGGACCATAACACATACAATATTTACTACTGTATTTATGTGAGTGAAGATATAACCAATATCGTCCGTAGGTATGCTACAACAAAATTATACTGGAATCAAACCGTCTACATACGCATAGGAAATGAATTCAGCAATTAAGCAAAAACAGAAAGAGGCATAAGACAAGGATGGGTTTTCTCATCGGAATTTATTCAACCTTTCCATTGAGGCGTTCCTGAGTGAATTTCAAATCGTACCAGTATCCGTTTTCATTTTTGGCCGCCACAATCTTAACAATATAAGATAACGCAAATATATGTCGTTTTTATTGAATAAATTGACTCTATAGTATTTAAAGATATTTTTGTGTAATTTTTATATATATATATATATATATATATATATATATATATATAGACACACACACACACACACACATATATATATATATATATATATATATATATATACATTATGAAAATGGACAAAGTCCGAAATATATATATATATATATATATATATATATATATATGTTGAAACTTGATAAAGCATGGAATAATAATAATACAACACAAAATGTACTTAAACAAAATGTATTGACACAAGAAAGTGTACACACTATTTACAGATAGTTTTTGGTATATTCTTGGGAAGACCGTTCCTGTAGAATGGGTTGACTTAGTCGCAGTCTGGCAGAGTCTCTGGTTTGGATCTCTTCTTACTTCCCCGTCTTCCCGGTACCAACCATATTTATATGGTCGGTACTCCACTATGTAAATTAGGTGGATCGTACCACAACATATATATATACACATTATGAAATGGACAAAGTCCGAATATATATATATATATATATATATATATATCTGTTAGAATCATGTTCTATAA